AAAAAAAAAAAAAGCTGGCTCAATTTACGAGAGGGAGTTTTTTCTTCTCTTCCACTTGCAATTGTACCAGTTCAGAGCAGCGAAAAGAAAAAAAAAAGAGGGTTTTCTTGAGTTCAAAATTGAGAGAGAATTGCTCTTCTTCATCAGAAATTCGAGCCGAAAAATCTGAGATGGGTGAGGTATCGAACAGGGAGATGACCAAATTGGAGGCTAATTTGGCGGCTTTCCCGCGATCGGAGGAGATGCCGCGGGAGTTGGTCGGCTGCGATGACGCCGCCGAGACACGTCCACGCCAGGGAGCTCCGACCACCAGGAGAAGGGCTGCCGCCGGTTCGGCACAAGTAGACACCGCCGTTTGTTCTCAGGCCGCCGTCGAGCCCAAACCGACAAGAACTCCATCGGTCACCAGAAAAAGGGCCGCGGCCGCAGTCACTGTTCACGGACAAACTCAGGCAGTTGGTTCGCCAGCTTCTCAGGCCCTCGATTTGTCACAGCCCCCGACTGTTGGCTCTGAACAACAACAGGGAGAAGTTTCTCGGGCCGAGAATGTCACTGCCACTCGACAGTCGCCTCGGAAGAAGAAACGTGCAGTGACCATTGACCCCACGCCTGAGCTCAATTCACAGATGGAGAAAGGTGCCGCAACCAGTTCTAGAGAACTTCTAACCGCTGCAACTGAGCCACATCAGGAGGAGGCTCTTCTCGTGAAAAAAGTCATAATTGCTGCTCGTCGTTCATCACGGGTCGCCGGTTCATCACAGAGTCAGTCCATCATGGATGCTACCGCAACAAGCAAACCACCGGCAACTCCACGAAAAACCGCCACTCAGCCAGCCGCTGATAGAGATGAACCCGCCGTTGACCTTGTCCCGGCACAAGAGGAGGAGAACAGGAGGTTGGAGCTAGAGAATGGCGAGTTGAAGGAGCAGGTGGCCAGATTTTCCGAAGGAGTAAAGGGGAATGCGCAGCCACGAGTGAGGAGGTCTACCCGTCGATGATCCGGTGACTTCGATTTCCCTATTTTCTTTTATGTAGTAGAAGTTTAGTTTGGGGAGGTTGATGATTGGTATGTCTGTGTTATATCTTCAGTGCATATGTTTGAATTGGTCTGTTATGTTAGCTGCTAGTTGCTGATGATTTGGTTGGGGTCTTTTCTTAGCTGCTTTTGCTTTAGTTGTTAAAAAAAAAAATATATATATATATGTTAACTGATTTTTTGGTGTGTCATATGTGGAATTTCGCAATGATGAATTGAGAGTCTGTTGGAATTCTTTGCTAGTTATGATGACTCGGGTTAGTGATTTCTGGTTAAATTCTTGAAGTATTGTCATTGGAGGGACAAAGGCATGATAGTTGATATTTATGTGTTTTATTCGTAGTAAGTCGTCTTGAACTGTTTATATTCTTGAAATGTGCTGGTGACTATTCTGCTTGATGTTGATTGTGTGAGGTAACTTGACGTGGAAAGTTGGGGTTGAATGTCTCGAAAAATAAAAAAGAAAAAGAAAAAAGAAAAAGAAAAAAAAGAAGGGTGTGAATAATGAATGTGGAGGAAAAATAATGGGTGTTGAAAAAA